TATATATATATATATATATATATATCGTTGTATTTATCATCATCATCATCATCATCATCATCATCATCATCATCATCATCCTACTGGACAAAGACTTTTCCCCAACTTCTTCTATGACAACTGTGACTAAGTAATTCTTTATTTTGTCTTATAATAAACTGACATGCTGTAAACCCTCTGGGATCACTTTTTTCGTATTTTGTATGTTTGTGTGTATTCGAATTATTGTTGTACTTTTGTTGTATATATTATCAATAACGCTAATAAAATTTTCATTGATACTGCCGGTCGATCTACTGAGCCACATGTTTTTCGTGGTCAACAAATGCCAAAGTCATTTGTTCTTATATAAAAAAATGATGAGATTGTTTAAGTCTACTTTAATGCTTTAGCCAGATTATACCTAACAGACATTTTTATGGCCTCCATTTAAAAGTAATCTTGGTCAGTGTTTACGAAGGCAGCTGTTTAAGAATAGAGATAAAATTAAAGTTTATTTTAACTAAAAATGAATTACACCACTGAATGATAAATAAAACCTTAGATACAAGTACAACAAGATAGACCAACTATCTTCCCAGGTTCAGATAAACAGATAAATATTTCAAATTGCTACAGAGTGTATAGAGTTTTTTTAGTTCTGAGATTGGATATTTTCAATTTCCAACATATTATTAAATCATTCATGACAAAACTGAGAAAGAAAAAACAATTCACGCTGATCTCTTTAGAATAATCTTCAAAATAATACTGATTTGTTTCTTATGGCTCATCAATATTTTGTAAGTTACTTATAGCCAAAACACGTTTTTGGATTGTAAAAATAATTTGTCTTTTGGTTTGTTTTTTTTGTTTTTTTTGCGAGTAAATGTTGTATTAATAATTTTTTGGAGATAGTTTTCAGATACAGCTACTATTTAACCCATAGTTGGAAGAGATATGGGTTCATACATTTGCCAATGGTATTTAGGCTTAAGTGAATGTAATGAAGTCGACTTGGATTCGAACTCAGCTCTCTGATTTCTGAGTCGTTTTCCATTACCGCATCCACACCTGATATTCCCAACAGTAAGCTGATAACAGTAAGCCCTCAAAATAATACAAACATAATCAAATCAATTTAAATGCGATAAAAATAAAACCAAATAAAATTCAGAATAATACTCACAGAATCAAGCTAATTTCAAAATTGAAACAAAACCAAATAAATAAACCAAAATATGACTGAAGTAACACGTCTGAGTTTATCAAAAAAAAAAAAAAACGAATATATAAGCGGACCATGAGTATTCTCGACTGCATCATAAAAATCAATAATTTCTGGTTTTAAAAAATGAATAGTTAAATAGTATCCTAATTTAAGGATATGTGAAAATCGCTTTATGTTAAATTTTTTTTAACACTTCCAAAAACAGATAGAAAAAAATCCGATTCCTTGTTAATCTCTTTTTTTTTTCTCGGGAGAACACTACCTTAATATCCAGTGGCGCTTAATTCTGTGACTATGTTGAACGGTTATTAAAAACGGTTATTAAAAACAATATTTTAAACGGTTATTAAAAACAATATTTTATGAAGAATGTTACTGGGCAATATTAACGTTAAACTAAACAATAATTATCACGCATTGCAAGTAGGAGACACAGTAGAGTAATGATTTGTGGCTCGTTTTGAGGGATTGGAAAGCCGAGTTCGAATTCCAGTCGATTTCATTACATTCACTTACAGGTGGGTAAGATATGAATTCAACTCTTCTCCCGCCAACTATGGTTAAATAGTATGACAGACTTGGTTCTAAAGCCTTGACTGTCAACCAGTCTAGGAGAAAGAAAACTCTGAATTCAAATTTCTATGTAGCCCCGGCGAAACACATTCTATGCAATTAAGGAAAGGATCATTCGCATTCACTCGATCATTCCGACTACAGTCGACAAAATCTCTGTGGCGATTCATTATTTCATTTTCAAGCTTCAGTTTGGCAGTGGGGGATTGGATCCAAAATATTAGTTGCCAGGAGACAATTGGAGCTACCCACAATTACAATTTAATTTTCATAAAGAATAATAAAAACTTTGAAAACATGCATATGTTAAAATTTAAATTTATGGAAAATAATGTGTATTTCCTAGTATTTACAATGTACATGTACTGTCAGTAGATACCAGATGTAAATACAGATAATTTTTATTTATGATAATTTTTATTCATTCTTTTTAATTTTATGTAATTGGTTGAAATTTTAAATATTATATTGCACAATTTACACAATGACTGATTATTCAAAATCACAGTAGAGAATAGAATGCTGTCCACTATATTAAGAGCAATCATTTTAATTTACTAGAGGATTTGTTCGAATCTGCCAGTAATTGGTTCTGCATCCAATTCATCGAAAAATCCATTTTCAATAGATGACAACATGTACGATTCCAAGTTCTCATCAGGCAGCGAATTTCGTATCCTTCTTTTTAGCTCTGAAAATGTCCTCTCACATTGGACTTGAATAAGTGATATTCTCCAGATGACTTCATAAAGTTCTTATTCTTTTTTATGACTGAAACACTTGTCTGTGTTTGTTTCTTTATTGCATTTTTATATGCTATAGGGGGCCCACTTCATTAGGGGCCCACTTGCCATCTGGCAAGCTGATACTCTTGCCAGTCCAACAGTACTTTTTATCTACAGGTAAAATTCTACTTTTTGTATCCAACTGTTTAGAAACACGATTACTTTCTGCTTTCCGATCTTTTGAAATCCTTATCACCATCATCATTTTTCATCTATTCTTGGTAAGCTTCTGCCAACGACCTACTTGAAACAAATTACAAATCTGGGTCTTAAATATTATAAAAAGTAATAAGTTAGGATTACTTCGCCCCAAATATTATGCCAATCTAAGAAAATACTTCGCAGAATAATGAGAATATTTAAGCTCGTATTTTTTTTCACATTAAAAAGACTGATGAACTAACATAACGAAAAAAAGACGGAAAATGAGGATATTAGTCTTAATGAATTATTATTTTTTCTCAGAAATTTAGTCAATATTTAGAAGGACAGAGAAAGCTCAGATTCAAAGTTCGTGTTAAAAATAACGTCATCGGCAGTTCTTTTTAAAAAATAATGTAATCGGTTTTTTTTTTTTAAAATGCATGCAAAAATATTATTTCTTCTTGGGTAAGTACCCCACACTTTCGGCCTTGTGCCACATCTAAACTACGCTTAGAAAATCATTTTTGGGCACCTCGAGGCGGTGTAATCGTTAGCAAGCTTGTCTCGCTACAACGATTACGACTGAGTAGTGAGTTCGATCCTCACTGGGGGCCCCTACTTTCGGCCTTGTGCTACATCTAAGCTACGCTTGGAAAATCGCTAAACAGCAAGTGATTGCAAAAAAAAACACGGAAATTACCAAATGTAGAGCCGATATCAAGAAATACATAGGAGTATCAGGAAAACATGTATGCTTCGAAATTTAAAAAAATACAACGAATGCTAACACCTGTATATATTAGTGACATTTCTGCAAACGGAATAAGATTTGTGCTTGAAAATTACTAGGCAAAGATATCATGGTAACAAACACCTTGAAAGACGTACCTAGGGAATCATACGAAGGATAAGAGTTCATATATTTATCAGATATACGCAGAAAAGTAGCTTAAAACTTCCAGTAGGAATATTAATCCTACTTTAAAACAAAAAAGATTTTAAAAAAATCATGTATAGGTCTAACACTCGTCTCTGCAATGAATATTGCTTCCGCATTTGGTCTGACGCTTCTGCTATGTATTTAGAGATTCTTGGTTAAATACAAAAAAGAATCTACCAAGAGAGGGGATAATGCCCCTGAGATGCAAGGGGTGGGGACACTGGAAGTAAAAGAGAATGAAAAGGCTTTGGAAGTAACCGGAAACCAATCCTAAACTGGAAACAAAGGATACACCTCTATTCCTGTTCAAAAGACCGGGAGAAGTATAAACAGAACGATAGGCAAACCTATCTACTCTATTGACTTTACATTTATACCTTAGTCAGCTTATGAACTTTTCAAACAAACCTCGTAAAACTATGTTCAGTAAAATGGTAGAAATCACTTAACAAAAATTAATTTAAGGAAAAGAATATTGTCATTAGAATTTGAATTAATGTATATTTCTAGCTGTGACATATAGGTAGGAAATATAAAAGTTAACAAAATTACGTGAAAACAAACTAAAATGAGCTAAGACAAATGTAAAAAGCAATGCTAGGTATAATACTAAGAGACAGAAAGAGATCAAATATGGATCAGAGACCAGACGAAGATAAGAGATATCATAGAAATGATTAAGCACGAAAATGGAAGAGGGTAGGATACATAACATAAAGAAAAGAAAAGAAAGATTAAAAGGTTGCTTGATTAGGTTCCATTGGGTAGAAAATGTATAACATAAAAGATGGGGAGATTAAATAAACGTTAGAACAGATTGTAGCTCAGTCACAGCAGTCATAGGAAAATTTAGGAAATAATTCTGTCCTGCAGTAAATAAGTTATGGTCAAATAATGAATGTGTTATATATGAACACACACACACACACACACACACACACACACATATATATATATATATATATATATATATATATATATATATATATATATATAAACAAATGTTTGGAGGTACAATATTTATAATAGTTTTAAAACAAGGAAACCTTTTTTTTAAACTATTTTAAAATATATATATATATATATATATATATATATATATATATATATAGGAAAATGAAAAGATCTTCACTCGAGAAAAATATTGTTCAGTCATTTCGCGAGATTTGTTGAATAGATCGTGACAAGAGCTTTTCAGTACGCTTTTGATCTATCGCTCGAATTCTTTCTGTCTATATAGAGAGAAAGAGCAAGAAAGAGAGATACACACGCGTCCACACATGAATATATATACTTCAGATAAATATATGAAATAAGCAGATATTTTAAAAGCAATGTCTCAAATAACTGTGAATGGATTTATATCTATATATCTATGTCCATGCGCATATATAGATAGATAGATAGATAGATAGATAGATAGATAGATAGATAGATAGATAGATAGATAGATAGAGTACACGAATATACGTTCACTTATTCATTCATAAATATACGATTGTTTCTGTTTCTGCAAACATGTTTACATATTATATGAGAATATATGCATTTAGATATACCTGTATTGATATATCTTAAATGAGTATCTATATATTTGTGTACGCATATATCCATATCAATGCTTATTATATATATATATATATATATATATATATATATATATATATATATATATATATATATATATAAAATATATATATATATATATATATATATATAATAAAATTCAAAGATATCTATGAAAATACGTAAAAAATTACTCAACTATAACGTATGTTAAAGCAAAAGTGCTCAATATATGACTAGCAGGACAATATTGAATAATACATGTTCAATAAACTTAACTCACTGAGTAAGTAATTTAAATTGAAAAAATAAATAACCGGTATGTTTCAATAATACGATGCTTTGAATATTTCTATTTTCCGAATTGTGTGATCGTTGGTGAATTTTCTGTGGTGAAAATCAAAATAGCTTCTAAATATGAAAATGTTCATTTTTTTTTTACGCACGTTAGAGTGATGCTTGTTTCAAGCATGAAATTTGAAGTCTCCGATTTGCATATTTGTTTCTTATAAATGTCTCAGAGGTTATATCAACCACAACAGACAAGGCGAAGATCTTGCCTCGATCTTAGCTTCAAACTCAACGTTAGATAACAAAGGCTATCCCCTCCCCAACTTCTTATATTTCATCTCAGTAATATTCCCATTTTAGCAATAGAAGTCTCTAGACTTATCAAAAACCTCGACCCCAAGAAAAACACTGGCCCATACAAAATTCCAATAAGAATATCAACCCAGAATTAACCCCGATTCTACCAAAGTTATTCACCTGCTGCTTGAAGAAGAAATCTTTCCCAAGCATGTGGAAGGTGGCAAGCGTATGTCCGGTCTTCAAGAATGCGGGGAAGTGATCCTCTCCCTCACAGTATAGACCCATTAGTCTCCTCAGTATCATCAATATCTTTTTGAAGTTTTAATCAACAAGAAGGTCGTCGAGCACCTGGATTCGAACAACCTCTTGTGTGATGAGCAGTATGTGTACCCGATCCCTACAACCTTAACCTGTTCAAGGGTCAACCGTTATCTTCGCCTGCTATTCATATAAAATACTCTTTATCGTAACCCTGTACCTCGAGTGGCCCCCGAGCCTTATACAGGGTAAAACTTACTGCAAAAAAAACTTAAATAGAATGCAATAGATAGATAGATAGATAGATAGATAGATAGATAGATAGATAGATATGAATAGAATGAGAAAGATAAATATGATTAGACTGAGATGAATAGATGTGAATAGACTGAGATTGAGATGTTCTTTGCAATGAATACTGTGAAGTATTTTTGTATTACACACTCGTATTTGTCAGATGTTAACAGTTAAATGTTGGTTACTTGTGAAGTGATGATTGCTGTGCGCGCAAATTATGCTAAGTCGATTTTTTAGGTGAGTAAAATGTTTCAGAATACATAAAATATATACTAATGTATTTTTTCTTTTATCTATATATATATATATATATATATATACACACACAATATATATATATGCATATATATACAGATATACCTATATACGTATATATATATGCATAATAGTGTGTGTGTGTATATATATATATATTTATATTTTTATACACTTTATATATATATATATATATATATATATATATATATATATATATATATATATATATATATACATACATATATATATAATTATTTATATATTATATGCGCGGTACCTATTAGAAAGCGCTCAATATCAGAGATAGAGCTAACATATTTGGTTGGATTGAGGTGAGTTTGTGACCCTGGGTTTCACGCTCTTGCGATCGTCAGACAAATATGTGTTTGTGAACATAAAAATATAGGTCCTTGCTAGATTAGATAATCGTTATATTTATTTTTTATATGTTTATATTTGATTCGTAACCTGTAGTCGATATTAAATTTGTCAAATTTTCTCATTTACACGGCAGCCCTTTCAGTAAATGTAGTTCAATTTTACTTTCCTTCGCCCCATCTCTCTCCCCCACCTCGTCTTTCCCTTCCTCTTATTCTGATCTTCAACATTAAATCGTCTATGGTGTGTGTATGTCACCACGAAATGTATCTTTATGCATTAGACATCCGACAACATTCATATTTCTCTTACTTAAACCCCTTCCACTCACCTCCCCTAAAATTCTCTCTGTTAAGGTTTAATCTCCCTCCTTCCCTAGTCTGTTACCCCTCATACTTACACTCTTTCTAAATTCTGTTTTTATTTCTGGAGTCGTTCTTTCTGTTTTCTTTTTGAATTTGTAGGTCTGATGAATTGGATCGTATTTACGATTCCAATGG